ATATCTGCTCGCGACCGCTCAGGAAACCTCCGCCGAAGTAAGATTCCCAAATCTCGATTGTAGTTGCCCTGTGAAACTCTTTTCTTTCAAAGAAAGCTCGCGCCATAAAATCCACCGTCGGTTGGAACGCGGCCCACGATGAGCGCCGTCTACCCACGTCGCTGCCCAAGTGCGTAAGTCCTGTTGCAGACCTGCATCTTCTTTTGCAGCCGCAGCTCTGTGCTCCTCAGAGACGGGGGGCGGTGGGCCCGCGCCACCAAGCTGCGCGGGCGCGAGCGGCCCTCGACCTTCTGAAATTGACTCCGCTGACCCAGCAGATCTAACGCCTCTGAGCTACCTCGAGACTCACCAACATTCACACGATAAACCTGTGTCCTGCTGACCAGAACTTGTGGCTTGCCGCCCTGGCTCGGCCAGTGGCAGGTGGCCGCTGGGCCCCGGCCTGGCTGCGACCCCCGCGTCGCCCGGTTCCGCGGGGCATGTGCAGGGGGGCGGCAAACGCAGCAAGAGGCGAAGCCCCAGGTAATATCTCGACAAATTCCCAGGACTTCAAGACCGATGTAGGAGTCGCCGACCTTGCCGTGCATCGAACTGCCGCCTGAGAAGCCCCCACTGCGTAACCATGTAGCGTTGCCAGCAGTCCTCCTATGTAACCGCTGCGAACTGGCCGTCATGTATAATAAACTTCATAGTTGCCAAACAGCACAAGCTGCCAGTCCGCCAATGCACGACGCGCTCAATCATGCGGGCTGTAATTCGTGACCCCCAGCGCGGAGCTTCGAAATATCCCATGAATGCACCTCCTCACTCCCGGCCAAGCCTGCGCCCACGAAAATGGCCCGCAATGTGGACTCATCTGCCGCTTGAAGTGAAAGGGACGCCGCAAGACATGCTGCTGCTTGACGCGCCGGTTCCGCAACCGGTTGCCACGCTGGTGCAGGTGCCCGTGGTGTTGGACTCTCTGGCACCCCCAAGGGCTGCAAATCTTCTCATTTGACGATCTTGTCCAACATATCAACACCAACCCCATCTTTTTGGAATGCATGCTCCAAGGTTCCCACTGTGAAACGTTCCCACTCACCACCACCGAATTGATCCGATCCTGGTTCAGGGGGACGTAACGTAGATGCTGCCAACTTCGCCCGCGTTGCCTCCAACGTAACCTGCTGCTCTCAATGTGCCACGATGCTCCTAGTGTCAGCCTTGACCAACTCCTCGAGCCGTCTGAGCTCCGCCTGGCGCTTGTTGGCCATCTCCAATGGTCTCTTACTTAGTAGATTCAAGCAAAGTAGCTTCTTATTGACCTCCAAGATCTGGACGCCAATGGGCTTCTCTCGCCGTTCAGCCTGAAGTTTGTCCCGCTGCTGTACGAGTTCAGCTCTGGTCGGTCCCATTTCGACTACTTCGCGAACCAAAGACTCAGAAAGTCGCTACAACTTGGCCGCAACAGCTGACACATGCACATCGAGAAGATCGCCATCCGGTTGTTGTCCACCATCCACCTCCATGGCCTGCTCGGGCGATGACCCACCCGTAGCTCTGATATGCTGTAGGTCGCACACTGTGGTTCGCAGTTCAGACAGCTCAGCTTCCAATTGCTTGATGACTCTCGTAGCTGCCCATGGTGTGCCAGTGATGCTCTTTGACGGAGAACTGGCGTCGCCACCTTTGTCGCCGCCAAACACCGTCCGCTCGTGCAGCTTACACGGAGTATAATTCAGCTGGATGCCACACTTACAGAAGCGCTTGCCCTTGCTACGGCCCCAACTGTATGTTCAGTCCTTGCAGCACCAGGTTTTGCGAACTTTGCTCTCCGACGTGAGGCCCATCGCCGCCTGGACCACGGAGAAACAACCAGAGAGAACGTTATGATGCTATGTTGCGTGACAGACGCGGTGTGTACAGTATGGAATATGCTGGCGCGCGCCAGACATGGTGGGGGCCGTGAAATCCCCCCCACTAGTGAAGCCGAGCCCTGAGCGATACACTACGAACTTGAGCCCAAATGGCTATGGACCCATCCTCCTCCTCCTATTCCTCCTCCTCCTCCTCCTCCTCCTGCTCCTCCTCTTCCTCCTTCTCGTCCTCCCCCCGCCCCTCCCTGAAACCCAACGCGGCGAAACAATGCAACACGCGAAAAATCTGTTTGCGGCATTTGTAGGATATGATCGATCTGTGATGGTCCTGGGGCCCGAAGCCAAGCGAAAGCGCCCGTTGTGAAACAAATGCAACGCCTGGATCTCCAGGTCCTTCCCCCCTCCTCCTCCTCCCGCTCCTCCTCCTCCTCCTCCTCCTCCTCCTCCTGCTCCTCCTCCTCTTCCTCCTCCTCATCTTCCTCCTCCTCCTCTTCCTCCTCCTCCTCCCCCCATCTTCCTCCCCCCCTCCCCGTTCTCCCCGTCCTCGCCTCACCACCCGTGGAGACTCGGGCCAAGAAGGCGGGAGGGGGGGGGGGGGGGGCCGCGCCTGTGGCTTTCTTCTTCAGGGCGGCCGCGGCGCCAGACCGCGCCTGCGAACCACCCTCCCTGAGAGAGTGAGAGGGATCAGGATGGCTGGCGGCGCGCATAAAAGGGGAGGAGGGGGAGGGGGGAATGCTTCCTCGAAGGAGGCTGCCTCTCAGAAGGCTGCGGCCTTATCTAAAGATGCGAGGCCTGCGCATCCTAAGCGCGCATCGAAGAGGGTATGGGGATGAGGGAGTGCTTCTTAGGAAAAATCATGTCCCCCCCCCTCCCCGTCCTCCCCTTTGCGCGTGGCCGAGATGGGACGGCCGTCGCGCCAGCCGGTTCCCCTGGGGTGTGGGATTGGCATAGACATGAGCATTCGAAAGTCCGCGCGGATTTCGTACATCGGCGCTGCATCTCCCGCGCGCCAGGGAAAGGGGGGCCCAGCGCCGACCCGGGAAATCCGCGCGGCCCTCCGACAGTGTATATGTATGCGACTTTTCTTCGTCGAGGTGGGGGTGGGAAGAGGGCAATCAACCAGAAGCCCACTGCTAACGGACATCCTCGTACCGGGAAAGGCGTACATTGCCCTCCTCTCTTTTCCCCCTCCTCCCATCTCCTCCCCCCCCCCCCACCGCCGTCCGCCCGCTCCTCCTCGTTTCCCCCTCCCCCCTCTCCCTCCTCGCGGGGGGAGAGGGGGGCTGTGTTGACCTTTCTGGGCTTGGAGGCTTCCTCCCCCCCTCTATTCCTGCTTCTCCTTCATCGTGCTTACCGTTCTTCCCTGATCCTCTCCGTCTCCTCTCCCCCCTCCTCCTCATCCTTCTCCATCTACTCTTCCTCCCCCTCCTCCTGCTCCTCCTCCCCCTTCTCCTCCTCCTCCTCCTCCTCCTTATCCTCCTCCTTCTCCTCCTCCTTCTCCTCCTCATAACATGGATCAGGGATCCGTGGATCTGGCGCGTGAGCGGGATCCACGAATCGGGGGAAAGCCCCCCACGAAACATTCAACCAGTGCCGCCTGCCTGATTTGGCGACGGAAAACGTCGATTGCGTATGGAAGCGGCCCCGTCGCTAATCCACGCGCCTTCATCCATGTTTGCATATCCTCGATCCTCATCCTCCTCCTGCTCCTCCTCCTCCTCCTCCTCCTCCTCTTCCCTTCTTGTCCTCATATTGACCTCCCTCGTGCCGTCTTCCCTGATGGTCGGCCTCCCTTTGGCCTCCCCCCCTGATTATCTGGCGGGCGCAAGCGGGCCACGTTTACTACACCCCTCCCTCAACAAGACGCTGCTGGGGAAGAGGGGGCGAGGACTCGAGGCTCTGACGAGCCAGATCAGTCCACAGCTCCGAGCTCAGAGGGGGGTGAGGAGGAGGGGGGTAACAGTGTAATGTAACGGCCCTTGAGCGTAGGCATAACTCTGTCGAGTCGGGTGGAGCACAAGCACATGGGCTCTCCCATCCTTGCAGCGGTGCTCGCGAAGGTTGGGATGGCACACCTTCGGTCCCAGAGCCTGCGCAGGGACAAGTGTTGGCACCTGGCATCGGTGGGTGGTATGCGTGGCTTGCAGGGGTGCGCAGGAGGAGTGATGGTCCTACGCAAGCAGAACAATAATCTCAAATACCCACAGCTGGTGAGGTCGAGCTCCCTGATCTCGCCCCTCACACCTCTCGGAGAACCCGCAGGGCCCGCTACGGCAGGTGTGTGCCACGTCGCCTGGTGCGCTGCTTTCTGACACCGCGGGGATCGGTCAACCTTGAGCGATCGCGGCTTTCCGATAGCGGCGATCGTTCGACGTCGGCCGATTCCGAGCCACTTTTAGCGGCGCGCACGGGGGGGGTGGGGGAAGGGTGGAAGGCTCCTTCGGAGGAGGCTGCATCTCAGAAGGCTCTGGCCTCACATCTACAAACGAGGCCCGCGCCTTCTGAGAAGCAGGGGAGCTGCTGAGAAGCCCCTTCCCCCTCCCCCGACCCCCCCCCCCAAATGCGAGTGGCCCCCCCTGCGCGTGGCCTTCTAAGAAGCAGGGGAGCTGCTAAGCAGCCCCTCCCCCCTCCCCCACCACACCCGCCCCCCCCCCCCTGCGCGTGGCCGACACGCGGGAGCGCTCACCCTTGAACGCCCGCGCCTGGGGCCGCCGACGCGTCGGCACGGCACGGACCTGCCGTACCGCTCCCCGCCCGTCGCGCGCGCGCTTGTCCCACCGCAGCGGCTCCCGACCGTTTGGGCTCCGCGCCCGACCACCCACAGATCCCGCCGAGCGGCGCCGAAGACCGCTCCCGCCTGCCCGCTGGTCTGAGCGCGGCTGCTGCTGAAACTGCGAGGGGAAGCCGGCAAAACGCGTTCTCGGCTCTCCCCCCCCGCCCTCACCTCCACATCCCCCTCTCTGTGTACAGTCATCGGCCTGACCTAAGGAACGATAAATGAGGAACGAAGCCCCTCTTTTTTACCCCAAGGAATAACGAACAAGGAACGATAACTAATACATACCGCGTAAGGAACGATAACTAACGCATGCAAGCCTAAAGAACGACCGAGCCCCTTTTGAAAAGTAAGTGTTCCTTATTCAAGCCGCTCACTGTACTCCAACTGTACGCCTCTCTCACCTGGCCCTGCAGTGGCGGAGCACGCTGCGACCTGTTGCCTCTTCGCAGGCGCGCTGATGATCCCACCGCTCTTGCCGAAAACAGCGTGACCCGACCACGCCTCCCAACTTTGGCTGAGTGGCGGCAGAGCCTGCTGCCTCTCCTAGCTTGCTTCCGCACGCGCTGATCCTACAGGCTCGGATAGATTTTCTCCGAACGCGGCCACACGCTCCCATGCCCAATCACAGCGTGTCGGGAAGGTCCACGCCCGTTCCGCCCGTCGTTATGTGGAGCACGCGTGCTACATGTGGAGCGCAAAATGGCTTTCATGCGCAAAATGCCAATACTTAGGCTTTTTCGCACCCGCCACGACCTGTGCGAATCATCCATTCAATGTCGAAGAAAACGTGGTGGTGCGGGCGAATTGCGATGATTTCTTTTCTTGCAGTTTGCAAATTCACATCGCCACCGCAAATTGCCAGGACGTCTCACGCAGAACGGGGCCGAACCCCTGCCACATCAGGGCCACACCAGGCAAACTGCGAGGACGTCTCAAGCGGAACCAGGCCCAAACCTGGCCAAACCAGGGCGCCAAACCAGGCAGATGTTAAGGATGTCTCAGGCTTGGCGCGCGGCCAAACTAAGCCAAAGCAGGCCATACCAGGGGCCAAACCAGGCAGATTCTGAGGACGTCCTAAGCAGAATCGCCCAAACCAGGCTCCACCCACTCTCCGCAATCGAACTCTAACTAAGGGAGTGGATAACCCCAGGGGGCCCCCCGCAGGCGAAGCCCGTTCAGCATTTTATGGGGTGGGGCGTTTGGACTGCGCGTCCGCTGATGCGGACGGGATTGGGCGCAGAGGCCTTCATTTGTCCTTGGGGTGTTGTTGGGGCCCTGGTGTGGCGTTCAGAGGAGTACTTCCGAGCCTGTAGCACTGCAACTAGTGACGTCAGGCTCCTCCTTCGCCATCCGCATCTCGCTGAGCAGCGACAGAACCCATTCACACTGCTCGCCTTTTGCGCACGGGCTGATCGCAGCATTATGGCCGATGACGCTGGCTCCATCTTCGACTCCACCGCCCTCTGAACAATAACAACTGCACCTGCAACCTTTGCTTGCCTTTGAACCCGCTGTATAGCTTAGCACCACTGGAGCCGGCAAAGTTGGGCTCTAGCTTCGCATCCCACGCCTCGGTGAGCAACCAAAGCGCCTGTTGACCTTGCCGCGCATTGCCCGCATCCCTTTGAGGCTTTGACCCCAGTGCTGCGGCTGCGGCTGATGACGTCGGGGTCAAACTTCTCCTGAAAAAAATGCGCTGGGCAATGACAAAGCCTGCAACCACTGCCTGCCTTTCGCGCGCGCTGGCTCCGGCGCTGTATCTAACTAGGCCTAATCCATCGACTGGCATTCAATCGTGATTCGTGTGATAGCAAATTCGCAAAAATACGATGCTCATTCAAGTACCTGCAATGCCTGTTCGACATGATCCCTCGCACGCAGGGTGTGTCTCAAAATCTGCGGAATCGCGAAAGACCGATCCGAAGGAAGCCTGGGAACCCAGCCGAGTCACTAGATGACCTCTCGTACACTGTCATACCCAAGTTGTAGCTGGTTTCGTCGAGCTCCAAATTACTATCCCACAGCTCGCTGAGCACCGACAACGCCTGGCACCACTGGCCACACTTATCACATGCGCTGATTCCGGCGTTGTAGCTGACCAAAGCTGACGCTTGGAATACCGTCCACAGAAGTTTACACGGACGGGTGCGGATTGGTTGCCTGCTAGATTGTTTGCCTGCTCGTGCGGTTGTCAGCCTGGTGGCGTGCCTATTTCATTCGTTGCTTGAATCATTGCTTGCTTGTCCGCGTGTTGCTGCTTGCTGCCACTTGATGATGATTGGTGTTGCTGGCTACTACTTATGTTGCTAACCGACCCTGGCCCTAAAAAAAAGACAGCGATGGTAATGAAGGCTTAGCAGCTGATGACAGCCACCACGTTTCTTGTTTGCCGACGCCGCTACGGGCTGGCATCTACTGGTGCAGGCTGCTGCTTCATGATTCGATTTGGCGCTGCTGCATGCTGTTTGATGATGGTTGATGCTGCGTACGTGCCTGCTGATGCGTGCTGAGGCTTCGTGCTGCTGCTAATGCTCGCCGCTGCCAATTGCCGTTGCTGCTTGCGGCTGCAAGGTGCTGTCGATTGCTAGTTATATGTGCCTCTTGTTTTGCTTCGTGCTAATGTCGTCTGCCGCGTGCTGCTGCTTGGTGTGGCTGTTTGATGTTGCATGGTGTTATGTTTTTTCTACTTTCGCTTGCTGGTGCAGCCTACTGCTGGTGATTGCTGCTGCCTGCTGCCTGCTGCGTGCTGCTGCTGATTGTGATTGCTGCGTGCTGCTGCCGCGAGCTGCTGCCAGCTGATGCTGCTGCGTGCTGCTGTTTGCTACCTTTGCAAGTTGGTGCTGCCCGCTATTGTTAACGCTGCTGTGGATGCTGCACCCAAGCTCTCTCAGATCATATTTGGGGCGTCTCGGGGTCATATGGGGCCGTCTTGGGGCGCATCATGGCGCATCGGTACCCTCGTGGGCGTCCTGTTGAGCCGTCTTGGCGTCCTCCGGAGGCCGTTGTGGGCCAGACTAAGCTATCCCCTGAGTGATCTTGGGGCTCTCCTGGGGCCCTCTCGGGCATCATTAGAGCTCTCCTCTGGCCAACTTGGACCGTCCTGAAATCCTGGAAGTGTCTTGGGGCACCCTTAGATCCTCTTGGGGCTGTCTTGAGCCGTCCTGTAAGCTTCTTGGAGCATTATGTGGTCCTGTTAGGGCTGCCTTGGGGAACCCCGCGGCTACGCGAGGCCCTCCTGAAGCAATTCTGGATCGAAAGGCTTGGACAGCTCACATCATCGAAAGAACTGGAGTTGTTCGATTGTTCCCCAACCGACAGATTGGGGTTGTCAGATGTTGTTAGAAGGAACAAATCCCGACCCGCCTCGCGCACCCTGCATACCGCGGTCGCCAGGCCCCAAAGGTACTGGTGCTTCCTGAGTATCTCGCCTCGAATATTCGACGAATGTTCATTGCATGCCGCGGCCGTCAGGCCCCAAGGGGCCCGGCGATCCCTGGATATCGCGCCACGCGTTCTCGGTTCTGGACATGCCGCGGAGAGTCCCGGGCCACTGTGTTGATGCTGAGCTACGCTGTCAATGCCTCGCTGTCCTGGAGCTTAGCTGTGTTCTTGCTGACTGGAGTCGTCGCTAGAGAATCTGACACGTGTGCGGAGCTACACTGTCAATGCCGCGCTTTCCTGTGGCTTTGCTGTGCTCCTGCTCTGAACGCACACCGCTTGAGGCAGCGGAGAGCTTGAGATATCCCTCCAGCAAGATGCAAGAACATGGATGTTCGATAGCTTTTGTTGTGTGGGTCCTCTCTTGGTGCCGCTTCGGGCCTTTCTTGGGCCCTCCGGTGCATCCTGCCAGGCCTCTCCTGGCCCCCCATGCTACCTCTGGGTGCCTCTGGGGTCATTTCTGGAGCCGCCTTGCAGTACTGTGCTGGATCGAATCGCGGACTCGGATCGGATCGGGAACGGATCGGATCGCCAGCGAATCGTCCCGAATGGAATCGAAATCGGATCGCCGCGCTCTGCTCCGGCTGGCCCCTGCATGTGCAGGTGTCGAACCAAATCTGGCAGTCCGAGGAGTCTCCGTGGACGGCCTGGCACCGACGTCACATTGCCACTATGCGCCTTTTTCTGAAGCGCTGCTTTTGGTATTGTGGGCCAGGCAACGTTGGCCTCCTCCCAATATGTCATTACAGAAGTTGTCTTGTATTGGGCTCCAACTTCGCCTCGCACATTTCGCCGAGCAACGACAGAGCCTGCTGGAACTGCCCGCCTTTCTCGCACGCGCTGATCCCAGCGCTGTAGCTGACTGGAGCTGACCCGTGGACGACCGTCCACGAAGTCTGCCCGAACTGGTCTGTGATGTGATGGCACCGCAAGACGCTCATGTTGAGCAGGAGAGCGCTTTTGCTCCCAACCATCCTGTGGAATTGGGTCCACGTTTTGAAGAGACAGCGCCCCGCGTCTCTTTCCTTTTGTTTTTCTCTCCTCCTCCCCCCCCTCCTCCTCCTCCTCCTCCTTCTCCTCCCTTCTCCAACCCTTGCCCCTGCCCTCCGCATGTCTTCGTGAGATCAGATCCCACAAGCAAGACACCAAAAAGGAAGAGGGCAGACCTTTTCCTCGGGTGCGAGGCTAGCATGTGTAACAATCTGAGAGCGCCCCTAAGCTGAACGGTTACGGAGAATCCAAATCGGGGCTCCCGAATGACACAACTCGCACACAGGCATATGTCTGGACTTGACCCCCTGAGCTAACATTCGAAGTGGGCAGACCTTGAACAAGTCCAAAACATCTTAACGCATTTCAGTTTGAACCAGTATTGAAGGACAAAGAACCCTGGCACCTCGTCCACGCGAACAGGGCAGCACATTCAAGGATTTGAACGGGGGGGAGAAGCAGAGACCGAACCGGAAACGACAGCACAAGGGCCCTCGAATTGAGAGGAGAGCTGACGGAGCGACGCGGCACGAGAACGCGCCGTGTTCTGGGGGGTATTGCGCCTCACGTCCAGCGATGTCTGCTCCGAGCTGATCTTCAACATTCCAATGCTGAGCAGGGAGAAGAGAACACCGTTACTCTTCGCGAGGTCTGCATTGGTCACGGGGCCGACCGGCATGACCGGATGGGGGGCCCACCTAATCTCATTGCGGACACAAGAAAGATTCCCGACATATGGCGGGCTCGATAGAGGTTCTCCAGTCCGTCTTTGAACCAGCAATGATACGGTCCAATGTATGGAAGATCCGATGGGCATCGACAGTCGAAACATTGCCCTCGGGGCTGCGATCAGACTGCAGTCTTGCCGCAAGAGAGCAACGAAGGGACCAATGTGCTCGCGCCACGCCTCATTGAGAAGAGACCCGTTGACGATGCCCCAATAGAGCATCTGAAGCCATTCGGCCTCGGCAAGAGCTGAGCTGAGAGCCACGACCTAACTGGAAATGGTGCTAGCCACCTCTCCTCTAACACGGCACGGTTCCCAAAAGAGTCATGGGTAGCTCGCGACATCTTTCCACTAAAAACTGGAACGGTCGGTCGCATGCACTTGGCCTTCTTCCCGGTCGAAGAGGCCACGCCCTAACAGTCTGAAGCAGTCGCAAACGCAGCTTGGGAAAGAACCGCCACATCGTGATAGGGACCGAAGCCGTCGCTCGAATATGTCCAATAGCCATATTGGCCAGCCCGACGCCTCCGAGAACCGGGGAAAACAACCTACGAATTAAGATCGAAGCCACTCCGCTCACCTCAGCTCGCGTCTCTCGGCCGACACGATTTCCTTCGTAGATCGCTGACCTGAACTCGCCGTACCGCTCGGACTCAGACTCGCATCGCGATTCTCTCGCTGGCTTCTAGGAATATGTATCTTGTGCAGCGACTCTAGGATGTACTTGTCCTCGTCCACCAAGATCTGATCTGGAAGCCTCTTAAGTCGACGTCCGATGCAATCGGTACCGCTCGAGTCGAACACCTTGATGTTGCCGAACTTGAACCTCGAAGTGTACTTCGCGATCTCGGCATCGGAGATGCTGGGGTCGAGGGCAATTGCCCAGTCATCTACCTTCACTCGGACCATGGCCTGGGGCTTCTCCTGAGACCTCTGGACGTACCAGCAGGGCTCCATCTTCGCTTTGTTATGCCCCACGTTGCTCAAATAATTGGTGGTGGTGCGGTGGAGGGCGAGGGGGGCGTCGCCCAAACCGTAAACGGGGCGATGACCTCAGTTAGAGCCCCTTTCGGGACATCGAGGCCCTCGCAAATCTCGACAAACACCCGGCCCCGGGGTCGCGCAAACTCCTCGCTCTGGCAAAACGCGTTTCTAAGTTCTCCGATGCACGTGCTGAGCCCGCAGCTCCGGGCTATCACGAGGAAGAGCATCAGAGATTCTGACTGGAGGGTTGGCGCATGGACTGCACGCGCACGAGTGTCCTCATCTTCGCACCCCCGAACGCACCACCTACTCTTGATATTGGCCCAACGAAACGTGCTTTCCTGAAGCTTCCGCACCATGCGAGAGGAAACAACCCGGGTGGGGCACTCCAAACGCCAGCGTTCGCCCTCCTGGGGAGGGTGAACTAAAATCGCCCTGGTACCAAGCATCGCGTTCCACTCCTCCGCATCTGAAGTGTCAAACTTACGCTGTTCTGCCCGGGGGAGCAGCGAAGAGAGGAAGAGGGCGACGACGGCGAGGGGGTGAAGGCTGATCCTCGGTGACCTAACGTCCTCGCGATGCGCGCAAAGAGAGACCCTGGCTGCCGTCGTCAGCGGACTCCGCTGGCGTAGTTCGTAGTTCCACCAAGAGCCGCTCCAGCCGCAGCGATCGAGATTGGAGCCCAGACTGTCAAAATACGACTGCAGCTCGGCCTCGGGGAAATCGGACAGCAAAGAGGCACGGTCGCGACCATCAATTTCGGTGTCAATACCTCCCATGTCCATCGGTTCCGCACGAATCTGAGATGCTTCACTTCTGCCGCGGACATTGCGGTCCCACTCGCCAACCGCCTGCTTGACTCTACCTGGGAGAGGAGAAGCACCAAAATCCTCGACTCTGGTCGGGAGAGTGAGGGGTCTGCCCCAGGAAGACAGCTCTCGAACCTGACGCAATTGGTGCTCACGCAAGACAGCGCCGCCACTCCCGCCCCCTTGACCAAAGTGGGGACGGGTTGCTGCGCGGCGGGCACGCGGCCCGGAGCGGAGAGGCACAGACCAATGTGGCCAGGCGGAGCCGGCCCAAGGGCCAGGGGGCCGGGGCCAGGGGGCCGGGGCCAGGGGGCCGGGGCCAGGGGGCAGGGCACGGGCGGGGAGACAGGCCAAGGCCCAGAGCCAGCCGAATGCGGGGAAGTCAGGCCAGGGCCCAGGCCGGGAAGGCCAAAAGCGCCGCCACAAGGCCGTCCTGGGCCGTCTATGTCCGTCTAGGAGCTCTCTGGGATTGCTGGGCTGTCGTGACGCTCTCTGAAGGAGTGTCGGGTCGTCTGGGAGCTCTCCGAGGCCGTCTTCGGCATTCTGGGAGCCCTCTGGCTTCGCCCTGGGGCTCTCTTGGGGCCGTCTAAGACGTTCCTGAGGGCCCGAAGACGGATCAGGAGGCCTCAAAAACAACTTCAAAAACCGGAGGAGGCCCTAAGAGGGTCCGAAGCGGCCCGCAAGGAGCCTAAGAGGCCCATCCGAAGCCGTCTTGGAGCTGCCTCGCGTCAAGAAGTTCGATAATTAACACGCAGTTGATTTGCCATAGGTTTTGAAGGGGGCCTTCTTGAAGCCTTTAGGGGGTCTTCTTGGGGCCCAGTTGGGCTATCTTGGGGCGCTGCTTTGCGCTCTTGGGTCTCTCTTGAAGCCTTCTTGAGGCCCATCTCGGGGCCGTGCAGCGCGGTCTTGAGGCCGTGCTGGGGCCTGTTTGGACCATTGTGGCGTCTCTGGGCGGGCCTCTGGGTGCCGTTCTGGAGGTTTCTGGGGGCGGTGCGACGAGGTCTCGGGAACGTGACTCGGGCCGCCTGGGAGCCGCCTTGGGGCACTCTTGGAGGCCAGCTGGGACCATCTTCGGCCATCCCGAGGGGGCGCCTTGGGCGCTCTTGGAGTCTCTGCTAAACTGTCCTGGATCCTGCGGGAAGCTGGTGAACAATTTCGGAGCCATCTGGTGCTGACAGGAGAACGTGCAACAAGTCTTACATATTCAAAAATGTTCGTCGATTTTCGCCTGTCCCGGGCTCGCGGCGGGCGACCCTGGGGGCCTTTTGGAGCCATCGTGCGGACGTCCGGGGGCATCTTGGGACACTCGTGGGCGCTTCTTGCGGTCCTCCAAGTCTCGTGGGTCAGCCTGCGGCATGCCCAGGCCATCTTGGAGGCCTCCGCGTGCTCTCTTGGAGGCCCCGAGGGTCGAGAGGGCCCCCTGCCCCTGCCACTGCCCGCCTTCCCATCCCAACGCTCTAAACGAGATGACCGTGGGCTCCAAATTCGCCTCCCACATCTTGCTGAGTAACCCCAAAGCCCGCTGCCACTGACGGCCTTTCTCGCAGGCGCTGATCCCAGCGCTGTAGCTGACTAGGGCTGATCCGTGAATTGCCGTCCACGAGATCGCACTCGCATGAAAAAGTAAGGATTGAAGCACATGCTCGTCGTACAGCTCATCATCTAAGCGAACAACGTTGATCGCTACATGGCACGGCAAACATAGCGAATCATGGCATAACAAAAGATCCGATACGACAAACCTCTTCGCGACAAAGCACTGTGGAGGGAGCGCGCCAAGACGCTCTCGACACGCTCCGACTGGCGGCGGAGTTCGAGTGGGCCGTCCCAGACGGGCAGTCGATCGGACCTTCGCCATGATGGCAAATTGCAGAGTCCAGTCGGGCCCAACCAAGGCCAACCATGACGGCAACGATACACCGTTCAAGCGAAGACTTCGCATACAAACGTGGTCGGCGAAGTACGGTGGGGCGTTGGATAAGGAACCCTTGGATAAAGAATCCAGGGTCTGGAAGCTGGTGGAACTCGAATCGTGGATCGGCCATGGATATCATCGCCGCCGTCATCAGATAAGAAGCCCTCTAGGGTCTAGGGCCTCCTGGGCACATTCCTTAACGAACGCCCCCGCCGTAGATGAAGAGATGCCACTCAGCTACCAAGATACCTCTCAGCTACCAAGTCGCTAAGCAACGGTAACACGTGCATGCCAGGCTCGTTCTTGTCGCATGCGCCGAGTCCAGCTTCGTAGCTGACAAGGGTTTCTTGCAGATGAAACTCACGGGTAGCAAATGGCACGATTATTATTGAGGCCGTCTTGGACTGTCAAGGCGAGGAGGGCCGATACATTTCAAATAGAAGGTTTTCGATGCGTGTGGCCGTCTTGGGGCTGAATAAATGGGGAGGCCGTCGTGGGGGCACCGTGGAGCCACCTGGGGCAGCCCTGAAGCGCTTAGAAGCTCCTGGGCCACTTGGGGCTGTCCGGCACTGGCTTGGGGGGTCTCCGCCGGGGACCCTGTTGGGTCGTCTCGGGGCCGTCTCAAGGCAGTCTGGGGCTACCCTGGATGCTGCTCAGGCTCTCTGAATCCCTCCTGGTGCCGACTCGCCGGCCCTCTTGGCCCCATCGTTGGGGGCCTCCCTTGGCTGGCTCTGGCCCAGACGTCCCAGCCCCATAGCACCCTGCTCTAGCACGCACAGCGTCAGAACATGGATGTGGTCGGGCTTCAGTGTCGCCTCCCACACCTCGCTGAGGGCCATCTGGGGCCGTCTTGGCGTCCCCTCAGGGCCGTCTTGGCGTCCCCTCAGGGCCGTCTTGGTCCAACTCAGGCCTCCCCTGGGTCATCGTCGGGGCCTCTGGGGGCCTCTTGGGCATTCCCAGGGCCGACTTGGGCCATCCTGCGTCACTCTGGGGCATGCTTGGGCCGTCTTGGAAGCTTTCTTGGGCAGTCTGGAGGCCTCTAGCTCTTTTGGACAACTTCGGAGCCGCGCGAAGCCCACCTGAAGCAATTTATCTGGGGCCTCTCTTGGCGCATTTGTCCTCCTCTCTTGGCCTGCTGTGCACCCTGAAACGCCTCTGAGGACCTCTGCGACCGTGTTCGGGCCGTCTGGGGATCTCTGAAGCCACTTCTTAGGCCTTCTTGAGGCGCTCGGGGCCAATGTGGGAGGGTCTGGCCCCGCTGGCCCGTTTGCCGAGCCGCCACAGTGCGACTTTCTCGCACGCACTGGTTCTGGCATTGTAGACGAGATGACGTCGGGCACCAACCTCTCCTCCAAAATGTCGCCGAGCAGAAACAGAGCCCTCTGCCACTGCCCGCCTTTCTCGCACGCGCTGATTCCAGCGTTGTAGCTAATGACGTTGGGCTCCAACCTCGCTTCCCACATCTCGCCAAGCAACGCCAGAGCCTGCTGCCACCGCCCGTCTTTCTCGCACGCGCTGATCCCAGCTCCGTAGCTGATGACGGTGGGGTCCAACCTCTTCTGCCGCATCTCCCTGAGTAACCCCAGAGCCCGCTGCCACTGACGGCCTTTCTCGCAGGCGCTGATCCCAGCACTGTAGCTGACTAGGGCTGACCCGTGGACTACTGTCCACGAGATCGCATTCGCATGCAAAATGAGGATTGCAGCGCATGCGCGTGGTACAGCTCATTATCTAAGCGAACAACGTTGATCGCTACATGGCACGGCAAACATAGCGAATCATGGCACAACAAGGCATCCAAGACGACAAACCACTTCGCGACAAAGCACTGTGGAGGGAGCGCGCTAGGACGCTCTCGACTCGCTCCGACTGGAAGCGGAGTCCGAGAGGGCCGGCCCGGACGGGCAGTCGATCGGACCTTCGACATGCAAACAAGTTGCAAAGTGCGGTCGGACCCAACCACGGCCAATCATGGTGGCAACGACAAATCGTTAAAACGAGGATTTCGCATACAAATGTGCCCGGCAAAGTAGATGAAGAGATGCCACTCAGCTACCAAGATACCGCTCAGCTACCAAGTCGCTAAGCAACGGTAACACGTGCATGCCACGCTCGCTCTTGTCGCATGCGCCGAGTCCAGCTTCGTAGCTGACAAGGGTTTCTTGCAGATGAAACTCACGGGTAGCAAATGGCACGATTATTATTGAGGCCGTCTTGGGCTGTCAAGGCGAGGAGGGCCGAGACATTTCAAATAGAAGGTTTTCGATGCGTGTGGCCGTCTTGGGGCTGAATAAATGGGGAGGCCGTCGTGGGGGCACCGTGGAGCCACCTGGGGCAGCCCTGAAGCGCTAAGAAGCTCCTGGGCCACTTGGGGCTGTCCGGCACTGGCTTGGGGGGTCTCCGCCGGGGACCCTGTTGGGTCGTCTCGGGGCCGTCTCAAGGCAGTCTGGGGCTACCCTGGATGCTGCTCAGGCTCTCTGAATCCCTCCTGATGCCGACTCGCCAGCCCTCTTGGCCCCATCGTTGGGAGCCTCTCAGCTGGCTCTGGCCCAGACGTCCCAGCCCCATAGCACCCTGCTCTAGCACGCACAGCGTCAGAACATGGATGTGGTCGGGCTTCAGTGTCGCCTCCCACACCTCGCTGAGGGCCATCTGGGGCCGTCTTGGCGTCCCCTCAGGGCCGTCTTGGCGTCCCCTCAGGGCCGTCTTGGTCCAACTCAGGCCTCCCCTGGGTCATCGTCGGGGCCTCTGGGGCCTCTTGGGCATTCCCAGGGCCGACTTGGGCCATCCTGCGTCACTCTGGGGCATGCTTGGGCCGTCTTGGAAGCTTTCTTGGGCAGTCTGGAGGCCTCTAGCTCTTTTGGACAACTTCGGAGCCGCGCGAAGCCCACCTGAAGCAATTTATCTGGGGCCTCTCTTGGCGCATTTGTCCTCCTCTCTTGGCCTGCTGTGCACCCTGAAACGCCTCTGAGGGCCTCTGCGACCGTGTTCGGGCCGTCTGGGGATCTCTGAAGCCACTTCTTAGGCCTTCTTGAGGCGCTCGGGGCCAATTTGGGAGGGTCTGGCCCCGCTGGCCCGTTTGCCGAGCCGCCACAGTGCGACTTTCTCGCACGCACTGGCTCTGGCATTGTAGACGAGATGACGTCGGGCACCAACCTCTCCTCCCACATGTCGCCGAGCAGAAACAGAGCCCTCTGCCACTGCCCGCCTTTCTCGCACGCGCTGATTCCAGCGTTGAAGCTAATGACGTTCGGCTCTATCTCTGCATCCCACATCCTGCCGAATAGAGACAGGGCAAGTTGCCACTGGCCACCTTTTTCACACGCGCTGACCGCAGCGCTGTAGCTGATGACGTCGGGCTCCAGCTTCGCATCCCACATGTCGCCGAGCAGAGACAAAGCGTGGTGCCACTGCCCACCACTCTCACATGCGCTGATTCCGGCACTGTAAATGACTGTGGATAACGTCCACGAAATCTGCACGAGCTGGAATGTGGTGGTGGACATGCTGCCGAAAGGCTGACATGATTACGTGGGGCTCGAAGTTTCCGCGCCTGTCCTCGCGTGCTGCTGATTGCTGCCGCTGCTGCGTGCTGCTGGAAATGCTGACCGCTGCCGCGTGCTGGTGCTGCTCGTAGCTGCAGGGTGATGCTGACGGCCAGCTGGCCTTGTGCGTGCTGCTGCCCGCTTCGCGCTGCTGCCGTTGGCTGCTTCTGCTTTTGATGATGCAGGGTGATACACTTCTCGCTGCTTCAGCGCTCTGACGCAGGCTGCTACTGGGATCGGATCGAAGAGCGAGGAGTCAGGATCGAGAACACCGATGAGATCGAGTGAGAAAAGCGACAAGTGATCAGCGAAGAGCGAGGAGCGAGAAGGGAGGAGCGACGACCGAGGGAAGATGGGCGAGGAGAGTCGAGGTTCGAGGAGGTTCGTCGTTCTTGTGAACCTCTGGGGACTGCTCTCGGTCTCTGGAGCCCTCGAAAGTCGATCTGGGGTGAGAGGCCAGTCCGGACTGACAGGGTCCAGGGTCCGGGGGCCGATTTTGATGGGGCGTTGGGATGGGGGCTTGAAGAGTCGATGTCTATCGCTTGTATGTTTCGACTGCTTGCTGCAATCGCTGCTTGCGAACGAGTTGCCTGTTTGTATTGGCTTGTTGCTTGTTTTCTGCTTACTTTCTGGACGGCTGGCTTGCTGGCTTGCTGCTTTCTGGTTGCTTGCTTGTTGGAGTGCTGGCTTGCTGCTTGCTGCTGCTGATTGCTGCTGCTTGCTTGCGGAAGCTGTAATGGGGGTCTCCTGGGCTGGATAAACGCGTCATCGTGTCTTGTTTGAAGCTTCTTGGGCTACCTTGGAGCCTGGCTGGGCCTTCGACGGGCAATAGGGGCTGCGGGAGGGGGGGTCTTGGGCGGCCCTGGGACGATCTTCAGCCGCTTTGGGAAGGTATTGGGGGCAACGCTGAAATAAGGAGCGCATGTGCCGCCGCGACGTTTGCTCTCGATGCGCCCAAGTGGACCGCGCCGACACCACGTCAAACCCACGGCAAGCTCGCCTCCTGCGCCCGAGTAGACGAAGCCGGCGCCACGGCATAGCCCACGGCAAGCCCTGCGCCCAGGGCGGCGTTTGCCCTGGTGGCCGAGGCGCCTTCCTCAAGACTAGACGGAAAGCCGCGCGTCGAAACAAACGTCGCGGCGACATGTGGGCCCTGTTTTAACCAATGTCCCATCGTGGCTGCGGCCGTCCGAGGAGGCTGGAGGATGCGAGCGGGCCGTGCAGGCTCGGCAGAAGACATTGCGGAGCATGCCCCAGGTCGCATGCGGTTCCGAGAACTCTCAAAAAAAACTCTCCGACGGATCGCCCGGTCAGACCGAAGCTCCGGGCGCGATCCTCTCCTCCTTTCATTTCCTTTCCTTTCCATTCTTTTCCTTCCCTTTCCTTTCCTTTCCTTTCCTTTCCTTTCTTCCTCCTCCTCCTCCTCCTCTCCTCCTCCTCCTCCTCCTCCTCCTCCTCCTCCTCCTTTCCCCTCCCCTCTCCTCCTCCTCCTCCTCCCTCCTCCTCCTCCTCCTCCTCCTCCTCCTCCTCCTACTACTACTACTACTACTACTACTACTACTACTACTACTACTACTACTACTACTACTACTACTACTACTACTACTACTACTACTACTACTACTACTACTACTACTACTACTACTACTACTACTACTACTACTACTACTACTACTACTACTACTACTACGACTACGACTACGACTACGACTACGACTACGACTACGACTACGACTACGACTACGACTACGACTACGACTACGACTACGACTACGACTACGACTACGACTACGACTACTACTACTACTACTACTACTACTACTACTACTACTACTACTACTACTACTACTACTACTACTACTACGTACTACTACCACTACTACTACTACTACCACTACTACCACTACTACTACTACTACTACTACTACTACTACTACTACTACTACTACTACTTACTACTACTACTACTACTACTACTACTACTACTACTACTACTACTACTACTACTACTACTACTACTACTACTACTACTACTACTACTACTACTACTACTACTACTACTACTACTACTACTACTACTACTACTACTAGTACTACTACTACTACTACTACTACTACTACTACTACTACTACTACTACTACTACTACTACTACTACTACTACTACTACTACTACTACTACTACTACTACTACTACTACTACTACTACTACTACTACTACTACTACTACTACTACTACTACTACTACTACTACTACTACTACTACTACTACTACTACTACTACTACTCTTATTATTACTATTATTATTCTTATCATTACTATTATTATTATTCCTCCTCATCCTCCTCGATGTTCCTCCTCCTCCTCATCCTCGATCTTCCTTCTCCTCGTCCTGCCCTCGATCCTCCTCCCTCGACCTCGAGGGTGCGGCGGCCGGCGGAGCTTCCTGAGGGATCTTCCATCGGAAGCCTTCTTGCGGCCTTCTTGGGCCGTCTTGGGGGCTGCTTGGACCGTCTTGCGGCCCTCTTGTGCCGTCTGGGGGTCCTCTTGGACGCCTGCTGCGCCGTGTTTGGGCGATCTTGGGAGCCTCTTGGGCCGTCTCGGAGCGTCGGAAGCCCGAGAAGGCGAGAACGTCAAAAGCAGCGGAGAACCTTGCGAACATCATTAACTTTGGCTTTTGGGTGCCCTCTTGCGGGACATCTTGGAGCCCTCTCGGGGCCCTGTTGGGCGGCTTGAGAGAACCATGTTGGTGACCTCTTGGGCCGTCTGGAGGCGTCTCGGGGCATCTAGGAGCCCGCCAGGGCCCGCCGGGGGCGATCTTGGACACTTGAGTCCGCCTCCCTTCTGGCACGCGCTTCTCCAAGAAGTATGAGAGAGTTGATGTTGAGCTCCAAGTCCGCCTCCCACGCCTCACTGAGCAGCGACAGAGCCCGCTGCCACTGCCCGCCTTTCTCGCACGCGCTTGTCCCGGCGACGTAGCTGATGACATTGGGCTCCAATTTCGCCTCCAACACGTCACGAAGCAGCGACAGAGCCCGCTGCCACTGCTCGCCTTTCTCACACGCGCCAATCCCAGCACTGTAGGTGATGACGTCGGGCACCAACTTCGCTGCCAACATGTCGCTGAGCAGCGACAGAGCCCGCTGCCATTGCTCACCTTTCTCGCACGCGCTGATTCCAGCATTGTAGCTGAATAGGGGTGACCCGTGGACTCCGTCCAAGACATCTTTCTGGAATGGTTTTCGGAGGAACGGCGGATATTTTGCCGAAAACCTGCAAGCACGGCGGCAGCCGGGGCGGCGGCAGCGAGACCGCGCCTTCTATCCGAGCTCTTGCAGCGCTCCAGCAGCTTGGCCCCGGAGCGCGGCTCGTTCGGCGCCCTCCTATTGAGGGCAGTGTTGAAGTCTCTCAGGGATGTGCGTCAAAATCGAAGCCCATCTGAGGCGTCTCAGGAGCGCACGGGGAAAGGCTCGGGAGGCCCTTTGGGAAAGCCACCGGGAGCGCCGGAAAGGCTCGCAAGGATCTCCAGGCAGAGCTCAAGGGAGCTTCAAGAGGGTGCGCAAGTCAATTACATCTTAATAGAGATCGCTGTTGGGTCGGACGTGCTCCGCTACGCTGGAGAGGCCGTTTTGTTGGAGTTCTGCTGAAGGCGAAGCTCTCGAGCGTGTCAGGAGCGCTGGGCCCCCTCTCTTGGAGGCAGTGTTGAAGCCTCTTTGGGCCTCTTGGGGGGTTGAGGGTCTCTCAGGCCTCTTGTGGGCCCCTTCGGGACCTTGTGGGACCCTCTTGGGCCGTCTGGGATCCTCTGGGGCCGTCTTGGGGCCACGTTCAGAGCTCCGCACGTCATCTGGACCCTCATGAGGCTCTCTTCTAGGCCTTCTCGGGTTTCCTCCTCCTCTTCCTCCTCCTCCTCCGCCTCTTCCTCCTGCTCCTTCGTCTCCGCCTCCTCCTCCTCCTGCTTCTCCTCCTCCGCCTTCTTGCCTCGATCCTGCATGCCCTGGACATTCGATCGTCATTCGTAGACCCTCGGAAAGCTTGCGCGATTTAACATCGCAACGCACGCGGGGGGCGGCCGTCGGCCGGCAATGGGACGATCTTCGCGTCTCGGGGGTGTCCTGGGGAATCCTCGAGGGCCGTCGTGGCCTGCCCTGGGGGCCCTTGGGGTCGTCGGAGCGGCTTCTGGAGCAGCTCGAAGCGCCTCTGGGGCCGTCGGTGTGGCCTCTGGAACGGCTCGGAGCCGTCTTGGGGTCGTCGGGGCGCCCTCTTGAGCGGTTCGGGGCCGTCTTGGGGCCGTCGGGGCGGCTTCTGGAGCGTGTCGGAGCCATCGTGAGGCCGTCGGGGCTCTCTCTTCAGCGGCTCAGAGCCGCCGGAGAGCACTCGATACAGAAACCCTTCTCACACGCACTGTTCCCGGTATTGTAGTATAGATCACATTCGGCACCACCTTCGCCTCCCACATCACGCCGAGCAGCGACAGAGCATGTTTCCACTGCCCGCATTTTCCGCACGCGCTGATCCCAGAGCTGTAGCTGATTAGTGTGAACCCGTGGATTAAATCCACGGCGTGCTGAGCCTGGGACTCGCAAGCCGTAGGTGACCAGCTCGCCGAAGTTGAATAGCTCGGGCGTCCCTGGGACGGTAGGGGCGACCTTCGGAGGCACATGTGACGGTCACGTTTGAGGGCAATGGTTGGGGGCTGAGTGTGGGGGGGCCACATTTGGGGGCGCCTGGGGGCTACGCGTGGGGCTGACGTTCGGGGGCCACGTTCACTGGGGCGGTAGGGGCGACCTTCGGAGGCTTTGTGTGGGGGCCGCCTTTGGGGGTCCCGTTTGGGGGCCACGTGTGAGGCCGACGCTTAAGGGGCCACGTCTGGGGACCACCCCAGAAAGCAGTCGGGGAGCTCCGCGGGCACTGACCTGGAAACTTGAAAAGGAATGGGTTCTTGCGAATCGCGCCGGGCCTGGACGCGATTGGCAAAAACACAAGGGTTTTCAGGCACAATCAGAATGAGGGGGCCACGTTTGCGGGCCTCTGCTGGGGGCCGCGCAGGGAGGTCTTGCGGCCATCTTGGGGGTCTCGGGCCGTCTCGGAAGTCGCTTTCGGCCCTCTTGGGCGGCACCTGGGGCCCTTCTGAGGGCGTCTAGGGATCATCTTGGGGGTCTCGGGCCGTTTCGGATGTCGCTTTGGGCCCGCTCGGGCGGGATCTGGGGCCCGGTTGGGACTGACTTGGGGGTCACTTGAAGCTCTTTTGGGCCGTCTTGGGGCCCTGTTGGGCCGTCTACGGGCCTTCTTGGGCCGTCTGGGAACCCTCCTGGGGCCCGCTTGGACCGTGCAGGGGCGATCTGGGAAGCCCCCGGGGCCATCCTGGCCGTTGTAGGCATGAAATGGCGGGAACAGGAAAACCCTCGAAACCTTCAAAAAACGCACGAGTATTGAATTTTGGCGCCGTCCACGCGGTCCTCGGGGGCCGTCTCTGAAGCCTTTTTGTGCCGTCATGGGCCTCTGATCCGGTCGGCTTCGGCCTCTTGGGCGTCTGTGAGGCCGTCTTGGGGCGATCTGGGGGTCCTGGAGCAGTCGGCGAGCGTTCCAGGGGTCTCCTTGGGCCGTCGAGGAGCGCCCCGGAGGCTTTCCGGGCGGCCCGCCGGCTCTCTGGGCGGCCCGGGGTGCTGCCACTGCTTCTGGTATTCGCACGCGCTTCGCCCAGAATTGTTATATAGATCACGTTGGCCTCGACTTTCGCCTCCCACATCTCGCTAAGCATCGCAAGCGCATGTTGCCACTGCTTGCCTTTCTCGCACGCGCTGACTCCAGCGCTGTAGCTGATGATGTTGGCCTCCACCTCCGCCTCCGACATCTCGCCAAGCAGCGACAGAGCCTGCTGCCACTGCTCGCCCTTCGCGCACGCGCTGATCGCAGCACTGTAGCTGAAAACGTTGGGTTCCAACTCCACCTCCCGCATCTCGCTGAGCAGCGCCAAAGCCCGTTCCGGCTGCTCGCCTTTTCCACAAACGCTAATCCCAGCGCTGTAGCTGACTAGGGCTAGCCCCTAACTGCGTCGACGACGTCTGCACGAACTGGCACGTGATTGCACACATGCTGCCGAAAGGTTGACACGATAACGTAGAATTCGACCTTCGCACTCCACGCGAAGTACTGCGTGCTGCTGTTTGCTGCCCCTGGTGAGTGTTGTTTAGAACGTTTTCCACTGTTGCGTGTCGTTGGTGCTTTTGGTTGTAGAATGCTGCTGATACTAAGGTCTGCTTGGTGCGTGCTGCTGACCGCTCCTGACTCCTGCCTCGTGTTGCGTGCTGTTGCCGTTCGCTGCTGCTGTTGCTGCTTAGTGATGCAGGGTGTTTTCCCCACATAATCATTGTTTTTTTGTTTTCTCTGGACACCCCCCGCGCAGGAACAGGAGCACCCCAAATCACCATCGCCATCGTCATCACCATCATCATACACACATCCCCATCACCATCATCATCGCCACCATTCAAATCATCGTCATGATCATCTTCGTCAGTCGACATCGCCGTCATGAATACATCGTCACTCACCAGCACTGACCATCATCTATATCGTCACCATCATTCCACAATCATCACACACAGACGCACTCATCATAATCATCATCATCTTCATCATCATCATCCTCATCATCGTCATCATCATCCGCATTTCCACCACCATCACCATCGTCACCACCACCATCATGATCACGCCCCACACCCCAACATCATCACGAAAATTTAGGGAGTCTCAAGTGGGAGCCTCGTCTGTGAATTGTGAGAAAGTCTCAGGCGGGGGCCCCTCCCGATGGGGCTCGCATCTCATGTTGGCAATCCGACTGGGCCACCCGAACCTTGTAACTGCCGTCGCTGTGGGACCTCTGAGGCTTGAATGTGGACGAAGTATCAGGAGGGAGCCTCGCCAGTGAGTGAATTGTGAGGGATGTAAGCCCCCTGGAAAGGAGCATCAACAAGGGTGAGAATCCCGCTTGTCATCTGCAGTCCCCCGTGCACGGCATACCTTCTAAGAGTCACGTTCCTCGGGTTTGGAGCGTAAGTTGGGTGATCCATGCGTTCTCAATCTAAAGCTTGGTTCGAGACCGACAGCAAACAAGTACCATGAGGGAAGGACGAAAGAGGACTTTGCGACAAGAGTATGAGAAGAGCCTGAAATTGCTGAAAGGGAAGCGACTGGAACCAGTGTTGCTTGGCCAGATTGTTGGGTGCATGGCGCGCATGGTCGTCTCTTGCCTTGTGTGTCAACGCCAGTTCGCGATCGAGGAAGACTCCAGGGTCATGGTAGCTCGCCTCTAAATGAGTGAATAGCCTTGGCAGAACTCATTTGCAGACTGTTTCCTGTCGTGTCTGGTTGCAGTGTCCTTGGCATGTTGGAAGCTCGTCTTGGCTTGCCACTGGCGAGTGACCCTGGTGACTTGGGCATTTCCCTGACACACAGACGATGGCTAATTTGAAACACGGACCAAGGAGTCCAACATATGTGCGAGTCCACGGGCGGTAAACCTGCTGGCGCAGTGAAAACGACTGCTGGTATCTGTGCACCAGCAAGCGACCAATCAATTGAGAGAGGTTCGAGTATGAGCATATCTGTTAGGATCCGAAAGATGGTGAACTACGCCTGAGAAGGGGGAACCCAAGGGAAATTATGATGGAGGTTCGTAGCGATGCTGGCGTGCAAATCGCTCGTCATACTTGGGTATCGGGGCGAAAGACAAACCGAACCATCTAGTACCTGGCTCCCTCCGAAAATTCGCTCAGGATAGCTGGAGCTGAACAGTTTTATCAGGTAGAACGAATGATTACCAGAATTGGGGGCGCGTTGTCCTCGACCTCTTCTCAAACCTAAACTGGGTAAGATCCAGTCGCTACTTGGGTGGACTCCTGGGATAAATGACAACCCTAACTGGCCCATTTCTGGTAAGCAGAACTGTCGACAA